TTTGTGGTGTTAGTACCATGGACTGGTCGTGGTGATCACATACTACCAAAGTTGATGACCGGGGGAGCTTGGGGTTGGATTATAATGGAGATGAACCAAAAAGTTGAGAAAGGGTGGGGGACAGGTTATTTGTGGTGTTAGTAACTGTACCGTGAACTGGATTTCGGTAGTGATCAGATACTACCAAAGTTGACGACTGGGGGGGGGGGGGGGGGGGGTAGGGGGGTTGGTTGATGTTGGAGACGAACCAAAAAGTTGAGGAAGGGTGGGGGTTGTTATTCGTGGTGTTACTAACTGTACCAAGGACTGGATTTCGGAAGTGATCAGATACTACCAAAGTTGACGACTGGGGGGGTGGGGGTTGGGTATTGTTGGTTGGAGACGAACCAAAAAGTTGAGGAAGGGTGGGAAGCAGGTTGTTTGTGGTGTTAGTAACTGTACCATGGACTGGGTTTCGGTTGGAATTATGGGAGACTCATGGGAAAAACGTGACTGTTAGCAAGATGGTGTTTAAAGCCCAGCAAATGACTTTCAAGCTGCTGTTCTCTCCCTCTTTTAATGCTATCTAACATTATTTGAATTAATCCTGAAGCACTTCCCGGAATTAATTGAGTTTACATTAATCATGTGACGATTAGACATATTGGTCTTCAGTTGTCACACCTCTCTTGCTATATGACTCTGAGTTTGCTATGAGGGAATGAAGTGTAAAAGGAAGCTCCGGCCATACTTTATAGTCTGTTTTAGTTGGAATTACATTAACATACTGAAATAAAAGTCTCTGCAACTTCCAGTTCAGGCAGACTCTAACATTCTCTCTGTTACTTCACTGCAGGTATCTCAATGCCCATTCCAGTGATTGGACTGAGTAACAGGGAAAAGGTCTTGAAGAATGGCATCTGTGCTCTAAACGAGGAACTCTTCATACTGGTTGGCTCTTTTGTTGCCTTCTTTATTCCTCTGGTCATCATGGTGGTCACATACTGTCTCACCGTCCAAGCACTTCAACGCCAGGCCACAGTCTTCCTCTATGAGGGCAAAGCTTCTTCCCAGCAGCCTTTGCAGCCTCCAGCTCCACCTTCTTCCCAGTTGGTCCCACCATTGGCTCCATCTCGTCGCAGCAGTCTGAACTGCTTACGGATCAGCAACAGCGATGGAAATACACTCGGTTTGACCGTGCCCCCAGACACTATCTCAATAATCCCAAGTTCAGAAGCGCCATCTCAAATGAATTCACCCGCAGGACGGGACCCAGCTGGAGCTCATGGACGACGGGGGATGATGCAGGCCATCAAGAACGAGCGGCGAGCATCCAAAGTGTTGGGTGTAGTGTTCTTCCTCTTTCTATTCATGTGGTGTCCCTTTTTCATCACTAACGTACTGTACGTCCTCTGCCATAGAACCTGTAAGGAAACTCTACTCACGGAACTGCTCAACGTGTTTGTTTGGGTGGGTTACATCTCATCAGGGGTCAACCCTTTAGTGTACACTTTGTTTAACAAGACCTACCGAAGGGCGTTTTCAAACTATATGCACTGCCAATACAGACACGTAGGGCTTAAACCCATCACTATAAACGTTCCATGTCCATCCCATGCGGTAGTCACACCTATTCTGATGTGTGACAAAGTTTCCATTGACCGGAATAGTAACTGCCGCAATGGGGATGGGAATGGAATCCGAAATCTGGAGACTCTTGACATAGACACTGACACCGGACTGGAGTTGAAACCTGGAATATCAGAGATCTCCATAAGCAGTGGTCACAGTCACACAGAACACACCAGCAGTGTCTGAAAACAGGACAGGGAGTGACCAAGCTTTAAGTGTGGAGATGCTGTGCCCATGAAAAAAAAATGTTACTCTGTCTCCTTAACCTCAGCTCTAACACAGCATAGAATGTATGCTGAATTAGCTCCAGAAACAATAATCTGACTGAGGTCAGAAAAGTGAGGGGGAATGTAACATGAACGAGTGTGTGTTTGTTTGTGTTAACAGGTTCAGATGTTTGAATGCCATTAAGTAATGCATGAACACCCAGTCTCTTATCAAAGCAGCACTGGACATTATGAGACTGCAGTCCATGCAAGATAGAGTGGTAGCGCCCTCTTGTGGTCGATCGAGTAATTACAAAACAATCTAGTGTGAATCCAAAAAGTCCCTGTCATCCAAGCTAGTTGCATTACAATGGATGAAGCTATGCTGTCTACATACACTTGCAAATCAGATCATTCTTTGTGTAACTTGTAAACATATCCAATGCTACATGCTGAATCCTTTGAGTTGCAGTGAAACAATAATACAATATTCGGGTCATCATGTATTTCCTGCTCTAACAATGTAGAGGAAATGACTGCAGTTCTTTCCTCTGACCCAGAAATCTGGACCAAATTAAATTAGACAAAAGGGTTACATCATACCTATCTTAAAACTTTAAAACAAACATTCAAAAATACTAAAGACACAACAAATAGGGCTTTAGTTTTGATTTTAATGCAGTCCAAATTTGAAGCTTTATTTTTCTTCAGTTTTTATTGTTCAAGGACCGCCCAGAGGCCATCTGACTGACATGTATAGAAACCAATCCCAGTTTGTTTTGTTCCAGGACTTTTAAGGGATCTGAAAATGACAAGAGTAGTATAACTTTAAAAAAGTCTATGCCTGAAAGACTCGTTTGAAATCCCAGGGTTTAGTTGTACTTGTAAGTTCTAATTGTCACTTATATAAACACAATGGCTTTCCATATGAAGATGTATGGCATTATGATGGCTTTTTGTCCAGTTGAACAGTTAAAGAACGAGATGTGCCTCTCATGGAAATCCTGTAGATTTCATATAATTAATTGATGATTTCAAAAGTCTTTCCAGTTTTGTTTTCCATAATCAGCAGATATGCCAGCAATCCGTGGGTGGCCCAAACTGCTTCTCAAGGATAGTTTTTCAGCAGGTATTGAAGTAATTCAGCTCTCCTGTGAATGTAAGGTTTGTTGTGTGCTGCCTCATCAGTTGGTCATGACAGAGCGAGAGAAGAAGCAAAATTGCACAAGAGACATGAGTACTAATATCATTTACTTTATATGGACATTTATTTGGTGTCCATGGCAACAGATGTTGGTCTGCAAGACCAAAAATTATCATTTGAGGATGTCTAGGAACAAACAATGTAAAAAGCTGTAAATTTTTGCTGTTTTCCTGTGTAGAGCCTTAGAATTTCTCCTCTATCACCTACCCTTGCTCAAAGTCCATTTTTATACCATAGCCTGTGAATGTTTACCAGATCCTTTTTTGTTTAAAAAAACATCCTTGCAATGTCATCTTTTTGTGAAGCTGCTATTTATTTAATAAAAGACAATTCTCATTCATTCTGCAGCATACCTCAGGGTGGTAGTCATTGTGTTTTGTCAATTGAAGCATATCCAGCATGCATGTCATTTGTGTACATCTACTGAAAATGGAATCTATTTTTTCCAGGACCATGGACAGCGCCAGATGTGACAATAGACAGGAAATCTTTACACTGCATTGCATTTTTACCCTTTGGTTTAGACCATTTTTACACACACACACAAAAATAGTTAATGGATGATTTGTAACAAAATCATTGTTCTGTGCATGCTATCTCTAGTTTGCAATCTATTTTGGTATTTTGCCTGTACATTTATATATTTATATATATATATATATATATATATATATATATATATATATATATATATATATATATATATAAAATAAATATTATTATTAATATTATTATTAAATAATATATAATAAATAATATAAAATATTAATTTGGTTGTGTAAACTTTTTAATCAATCAGCCACATTACATTACACATAACGACTCAGTTTATTAAAACTACTTAAAGTGAATGTATTGTCTGATTAATTATTGCCTTATATTATTAATATTATTATATAAAATCTATTATCTATAAATATCTATGAATCTTAATATATTTTATAGCATATTTTACTAAAAACATTGTGCTGGTGTTGTCTTCAAGAAGATAGAGATTGTTTTACTGTTAAATGTAAGCCATTTTTTTTTTTACATTTTGTGTCAAAACAAAGTTCAGTCCATTTTTATCCATTTTATAAGACTGGCAATGCTGCCATCTATTGTTAGAAATATGAATAAACATAATATGAAACACATTACTCATAATAATTTGAGCTCTAATGTGCAGAATTTGGATTTACACTCTAATATGCAAGAACACATTCCTAAATTGTTAAGTGAAGAGTTTCACTATAGAAAAACTCATACATTTTATTTTACCTGCTAGCAGGGGCGGATTTAGTGATTGGGGGGCCCTAAGCAGTTCCAGCCATGGGGCCCAACAGTCCTAAAATGTAACCATTGTAGTTTTATTATTTATGTATTTACTTATTTATTTATTTTGAAGTGTTTGTCTTATATCACTGAATCTTCCATGTTCTATCTTAATGAAATCTCTACATTTTAAATTCTTTGTTTTCTTAAAATGAATTTACATTTTTTTTTAATATTTAAAATAATGAATTGTTTTAAAAACTGAATCTTTACCTGACTTGACTGCTCCATGACTAGTAGTGTAAGAGGAATTTGTGCAGATGTTGTAGTTACGTTACATTTTGATTTGTTAGACCCTCACCATACAAAATATGATTAAAAAATAATGTTGTGTGTATAATTTATACTTCTAGGCAATTATTGGCGGCCCCCAAATTTCCTGAGGCCTTAAGCGGCAGCTTACTTTGCTTACTGGTTAAACCCCCCCCCCTGCCTGCTAGCTTACTTTTTACACGGGCTTCACGCGTGGCACTGGCGTTAATCAAACGATATCACAACATAAAACTACTCAATAAAATCTACCTTACTGAAGGGATCATTTTTGCAGAGATTTTCTGAGGTAAAGCAGGTTTTTTTTCTTCCTCCGCGGGCCGCGGCTTCAGATTGTGCTTATGTTGGTGGGAGGTGGTCATGGCTTCGTTGTGCGCATGCGCTCAGAGCAGCGTTTGTCGCGCTCGAGCAGAAGACTCGACGCTGTCAAGGAAACGCGCACGCTGGACGCATCGCTCCGAGATTTACAAACAACCCAACCTGTCTCGCGCATCGTTATTCACAGCATCCTTTGCAGAAATAAACATCATTTGACCGACGTATGCGATGTAACAAAACAGAGGAAGAGCGATATTAGGATTGAAATCAGAAAGACGCCTCGCCAGCGCTTGATATACACAGGTAAACGGGCTTTTTAATCGGTTTTGCATCTCTCATGGGCTCGGACAAAGCTGAGCTGCTAACGCTAACGTCGTGAGCAAATGCTGTGTTTTGATGAAACGAAAAGGCTGTGGTGTGTTTGGTGTGTTGTATGTGTTATGGCCGGGACAATGATTTATGCTGTTTCGTAAAAATGTTAATAAAATGGGATGTACATTTTATTTTTATTTGCTTTGGCGAGAGATCATGTGGTACGAACAAAAAAAATGTCTGGGGTTGACTGAGGCTGGGAACTTTGTTTGTAACTGCGACGTTATACATCCATATTTTTATGTTTACATAATTTATCAATCCTAAGTGGATTTTGTATGATTAAAGGTCCACAATTCCATATGGCTAAATGGTTTGTGAGGTACATTGTATTAAGCCATCAAAGCCAAAATATGATGAAATTAGGACTATTATAGATTTTTTTATTTCCTTTTTTATTGAGGTAAAGTTGGTTTTATATTCACACATTTGGACTTTCTCCTTAATAATAAAATTTTAAAAAGGTGTTCTTAGCAAATTCTCTATTGTGAAATCATATAAGCTGCCACTGACTATCAAAGTACAACATTGTTTACAGTCAAATAAAAAGTGCTAATGTTGTTTTCAAGTCATATTTACATGTGATTTCAGACCGAATATTCAAAGTACCTTTGTACACAGTATAGGGAACATGTCACAAGTTTTCACTGAACAAATATTCAAATATAAAATTGACTTTAGCTTAATCCTTTTTTTTTTCAGTTGGATGTCTTAAGTGTTTGTGTTAAAGCATGTAACGTTACTTTGAGTTATTTAAAACAGATGTATAAGTTTTGGATGGGACATTTTTCAAATAAAAATGTTTGTAACGTGAATATATAGATATATTTATAACTATGATGTACTAGGGCTGGGTGATTTGGCTTAAAACCAAATTCTCTATTAATTGAACATTTTAACTCGATTATGAATAATGAATATATACTTACATATTACAGATGGGAGATTTTTAAATGAAGGGTGTGTTACTTGATTTTAAAATAATTGAAAGAAACACACTATCTAGTATCTAAGATTATTTGTTGAACATCAACTTTGTACAAATAAAATTAAAGCACACATTTCCTAAAACGAACAATCACTTTTTTACTTATAAAAAAATGGAAAATATAAATAACTTGCACTTTTGGAGACAAAATGAATTATTTTCAGTGTTTTTCAATGTTCATATTAAAAGTAGAAGGTATAGGGTACCTATAGTAAATTAGGGTATGAGACCGTGCGAAAGCTGCACTATCCGGACCATACATGTGCACTTGACGCAGAAGTATAAACCAGCCAGAGCAGGGTCACATGAGTCCACATGCGGTAGGGAAAGTAATCGAAAAAATTTACCTGAAAAAAAAATAGATTGATTATAGGTTCTGAATGTCGATTTCAATTACTTTTTGATTAATCGCCCAGCCCTATAATATACTGTTCATGTCAAAAGATACCCAGGCCCTAAAAAACACATTACAGTATATTTTATTGTGAGACAGTATCAATTTTATCAAATTTACCAGAGTAAGTAATTGATGTCGAGTGCGCTTAGAATTTCAACAATGTCAGCTTTTTAATACTTTTGACCACAAGCTAAAATGGGTCTGTTTACTGTGGCATTGTTGTTTGTTCTGCCTACTGGACTTATACATAAGTCGTTGGGGTAAAGTTGGTTTTACATTTGCACATTCTGACTTTCTCCTTAATTTTAGTTTAATATTGATAAATATTATTAATAAATCATATTTATTATTTCGGAAAAGTATTATTTAGCAAATTTTAAATGGTGAAATCAAAATAGCAACCAATGACTATTGTTCACGGTCAATTAAATAGTGCTTATGTTGATTTGTAGTAATTTAAATGCGATTTCAGACACTATTCAAACTAGAATGCTAAACAATATAAGTGTCGGTAAAGGAACGAATGTGAGAATATAAAACCAACTTTACCTCAAGTCTTTTATTGAGGTAAATTTGGTTTCATATTGGTACATTCTGACTTTCTCCATAATAATATAATTTGGGAAAAGTATTATTTGCAAATTCTGAATGGTGAAATCATAATAGCAACCTTTGACTATCAAAATACAACATTGTTCACAGTCAATTAAATAGTGCTAATGTTGTTTTGAAGTCATTTAACTGTGATTTCACACCCAATATTTAAATTAGCATGCAACAATATTAGGATCGGTAAATTAATGAATGTGCGAAGTATTATTTTTATTATTATTATTATTATTATTATGAAAGTATAAGTATTTTAACATACAGTCCAAATATATACAGTACATGCCAAGTCTCACAAACAAACCATGCATTCTTAATGCATAATATAGATTTTAAACCTAATAACAGACTCCATTTAAATATGTTTATTCGTTCTTGCGTAAAATATGTTGAGGTTTGTTTGTTATTTGAACATGCTCAATTTTTAAGATTCTTGAGATTGAAAGGCAGTATATAAACTTATACACATAATAATAATATTATTTTGATATTTTTGTTTTTTGTTAATTTTTTTTTTCTTTTCATACACAGTGATTTTTATTTATTTATTCGAAAATGTTATTTTCAAGTCCCAGTGTGGACTTAGAAAAATGATGACGCAGTTTTAGTCATGAAACCAATTCAACTAAAATGGTGGGCAACATTGTACAGCTGAAGATTTGGATGAAGATGTTAAAGATTAAAATCCTTTTAAGAATACTTATAGTGTTTTTAGATGAAAATGCAGTTTTCAAAGTTAAACAGATTTGTGTAGACCAACGTAGTCTAAAACATTTGATTTCATTGAAACTTATAGACTGTACATGTACTCGGCTTCAGTTTTTGTGTTTGTGTGTTCAAGTAAAGCACTGCTCCCACTGAGATTTCAGCCACGACTTTCTCATCTGAGACAAATTTGGGAAATCCCAAAAGATTGCTGAAATCCTAGGCTAATATTTGTGGTCTTTGAGCGTTGGTTTGACATGTTCACAGACAGCCACTTAATGCACATTGCGATCAGATTTTCCCTTTGATGAAGTTCTGGCAGTGTCAGAAGATTTCAGACAGTGTTCTGCAGTGTGACAACAGCTGCGATGAGCTTCAATCCAAGAACCAATAGGAGCATAGAATCTGATGACGCAATCCATGCAACAATTCAAATGATGCAGGAAATGTTGAAACAGTTTTTTCCTGGTTTTATTATTGGTTTTATTATTGAGGCATGCGAGGAATCATTTCAGAATTCGGGATAGTGGAAGTGTCACGGGTGGATGATGTCAAACTCTGTGGGAGTTTTCTTCCATGTTTGCTGCATCTTCATTGTCGTTAAGTCTGGCATTATGACAGCTAAGATCTTACAGTGTTACATGGGAGCCATGTTCATGCAGTCTGACATACTACAATCATTCAGGATTATAAAAATCGCACAGTGTAATCTGGCCTTTGGAGAGAAAAACAAAGACATAAGTTTAACGTTACTCTAAATAATTGACTTTGCCTGCGTATAAATCGGGGCTAAGCAATTAATCGAAGGCAATTTTTATGAGTACTTTGTGAATAACGTTGACTATCTTTTCTACTTATCAAAGAGCCATGTTTTCCTGATAAGATGTGCATGGTAATTACAGCTGTTGATTTAATCACATTTGTGACTTTACATTTGACTTATCGCTCAGCCCTATTGACCTTATTTTTCACTGCTGAAGTGCGCTTGTTTTTGCAATTGTTTTAGTACATCTGATTCGGCTGTTAATGGTAGAAATGACTAAACGACGGTCAAAACGATCAAACTACTTGCTCTACAAACAAGTGTGTTTATGGCTATACATAAGAAGTAGAATAACATAATATAGAAACATTAGTTTGCATCATGAAGAAGTCCAACAAGCTGTTTTAACGTATAGTAATCAATGGAAGGGAAAGAGACTGGAGGTCTCAAGCCAAAAAGATTCAAATGGTTGAGCCCACCCGTATATGAAGAATATGGTCAATACAAATGGTTCTAATTCAAAGAATGTAATGTTTGAATTAGCCATGCTATGTTGTTGACTAGTTGGGCTAGTAGTTTGCTGACTTTTTGAAATTTCATTACCATTGTTTGATTTGAGCACTCTTCTTGAATATACATTTTACTGGGATATATACAATATCAGTGTTTGTGTGTTTTCATATCTGGGGTTTCACTGTCTTGACCTGTATTACCTGGTTAGGCAACACTTCGGAAGAAACTGAACAGCCTCAAGTTTTTGTCCTAGATTCCAATAGAAATGGTTATGTCGGAGTTTCAGCGCAGGTCAGAAATTTCCACTTTACTCGACATTTTTCTCAGTTGTTTTTCTTACCTGTAAGTCAGTTCATTCTATTGTCTGTATTCACTCAGCAGGCAACCTGTCCCCTCCGCTGTGTTTGTGTACAAATGAAAAGCAATCCCTGTGTAAAAGTGCTGTTTGCTGCTATTTTGCCTTTGCCTTTTGTTACCCGCCACCAAAAAAGGAAAATGCAAGCATGGCCTGTCTATTGAGCTCATCGAAAAGGCCTTTCCAGGTCACACTACATATCAGGATACTAGACAGCTGGACTAAACCAGTACCTTTCTCATTTTCTCTCTGCCATTCATTTTAGTTGGCAACACTGTTTTTGAGTCATTCACTTCCAGTTTCCAGTAAACAAACCCAAAAACAACCACATACACACTCAATCACAGCCTGGTTTACTGGCATGCTTACTCAGCAATATTAGGCAGCCGTTGGGCAGGATCGATGCTGTGTTGTTGTCACTGCACTTACTTTACATAAGTGTCACGGTGGTCATCATCGATGCTTCAAATCAATCCACTGCTGCACAATGTCATCAGTCTTAGCCTGGTTGGTCTGGATGCTGCCAGGGAGGGAGTTAATGAGTTCATAGAGTTTACAGTATGTACTATAAAGTTTCAGTATCGACAACCATATTTAAAAA